TCTAACACTTCTGATCATAAATCCATATTAGAATTCCTAATGTGTGAGCTCATGAAACATACAATCCACTGCTATGTAAATACTCTATACAATTAGAGAATATATGCAGATAGAGTAACTTCAAAAACAACATTAAAAATAAGGATACAACCCAGTGCGATAGTTCAGTAACCCCACTAATCTAGCTGGTAAAGGCAGCAGCATCAAGTGGATGACCCTTCTGACCAGGAGAAAAGGGTCAGCTGTGAGACACTCCTGAGATTCCCTCAGGGTTATGCTCACACTGTTTCATAACTATGGTGTTCAGGGCTCAGAGGGTAAGATGCTTGCTAATAAGGCATGAGGTTCAGAGTTCAGGACCCTAGAATCCATGTAAAGTTGGATACAGTATGATGTGATGTTAATCCTAGAATTCCTACAGAAAGACAGGAGGCAGAGACAGGAGAATTCCCAGAGTCTGAAGAGCTAACTAACCAATCTGAAGTCCTCAGGTGAGACTCAAACAAGGTAGAAGAGATGCTATGACACATGTGTGATTGTGGACTCGTGTGTGTGTGTGTGTGTGTGTGTGTGTGTGTATGTGTGTGTACACATAGCTTTATAAACTGAAACTTGCAATTTGGACTGTGCATCCTAAGAATTTTTTATGAAAAAAATTAATCCACTGAACTGCAGGCATCAGCAACCTGGCTTCACCACAGGCAGCACTCAAAAAGTCATTCCTTATCTAAAGTCAACGCTTTAGATCCAGGTCGTTGTAGTGGAGGTGGGATAAGTATACCTTGGAGAAACATAACCCACATGGAACAAGACAAAGAAGCAGAATGTTCAATTTTCAGAAATCCAGACAACAGAACTCAGGGACAATGACAGCTGTAGGCAAGGGCATGGAAAAACTGGAATCCATATACACTGTAGGTAGGACTGTAACAGGACACAGTCTCTAATTCGAAGTGTTAACCATGAGAAGAATTCTGTCCCAGACATTCTACTCCTAAGAAAACATGAGAACTGAAAAGCATCTACATAAAACCCAAATGTTCAAAACAGCTCTTCACACAGTCACTTATTAACCCACATGTCCAACAACTGATGACCAGATAAACAAAATTGCATATCTCTACAATGAGTATTTGAGAATAATGAAATTAAATATGCTGGATTCATACCACAATATGTATAAGACAACGTAAAAATAGTACCTCTCAGTGAAATGAGCTGGACACAAAAGGACACGTGTTGTACGGTACTTATGAAACTAGGAGAGCGACAGAAAAATACTTGGGGACAGAAAGGTGGCTAATGGTTGCCACTGCCAGGTATAAAGATGGGGCATGGCTGCTGATGACTAAGAAGTTCCTTCCTCGGATGACAAAGATTTTTAAGGTTAGGTAATGGTAGCCCAGTAGATGGCTCAGCAAGTAAAGGCACTTGTAGCCAAGCCTGATGACCTACATTCAATCTCCCAGGATTCACATAGTAGAAGCAAAGAATGGATTCCTGCAAGTTGTCCTCTGACCTGCATATGCAGGCTGTGGCATGTGTATATGTACACACAGACACACACACACACACAAATACATCTAGTTGTTTTTAATTAAACAGTGATCTTGGTTTTAGAACTGTGAATATGCAAAAAATGAGCTGTATATTATATAAAACAGTAAATTTTATTTCAGTAAGGCAGTTAAGACCATCACCACCATAATGAGTTATTGACCTGATACTCCAGAGTGGATTCAAGACAAGAGAAGACACTTATCAACGAAAACACTGAAGCAATCCAAAGGCAGCAGGTGATTAGCAGTGCTGTACTAACATCCCTTATGGTTTTTTATTATAGTCTTGACAAATGTACTCTGCTCTTGAAATACAGACAGTAATCTTTTAATCATTTTAAGGGAAGGGGTTAATTAAAATGTAACTGAACAAGCACCAGAGAGATGGCTCCGTGGGTAAAGGTGCTTGCTGCCAAGGCTGGAGACCTGAGTTCCATCCCTAGGACGCACATGGTGGAAAGAGGAAAATGTGACTTCCACAGCATCCTCTGACCACAAGACCTGTGCCGACACTACACACACACACACACACACAC